TTCTAGTCTACCAACCCCCTACTTATGGGCAAAATATGGAGCCAAAAGCGGTGAATCACTTGAGGACCTTCCCTCGTTAGTTAGTTTTACGCTGTATAACAGTCAGACTTGTTTTTTTCTGTCCTTTTTTTTGATAATCTAATCTTCATAATTTCCGATGCTTATTCCTTTCGAAACGAAAATATAATAATTTCAATAACTGTAAGAAAAGTCGATCGTCGAATGAATCAGCAACAGATGCGTCATCTTATAAGAATATTAGTCATGTAGCAAACATCTCTTCACACTGAACGAATGGCAAGTTTCTTGATAAAGTATAAATAATCATAAACACTAGAAAAAGAAATTCTTAAAAATTTCTACGATCCCAGAAGTATTACAAACTTGCATAAACAATATTTAGATCAAGTATTGTACTAAAATAATAACACTACAAGATTATTTGTTAATCGCGATAGATATTGAATGGTTACATAAATAAATAATTTAGTTCGATTCAAAAAACGAGCGCAATATCATTTATTATTCTCATTTATCATCTTAATCATATCAACTGTTATGTACTTCTTGATTTTGATTTTCTTGTTTGTAAAATATTGGCCAACAAATAAACTTCGCTGTATGACAAATCAAGTACGTTCTGCATCATCAAAATCAAAATGTGACTTTGTACTTAATATTAACGATCATATTCCTGACGATGCAAAATTAACTGCAACATTCAAGGACTGTGCAATTCATGAAGCTAATTCTGTAACAATTTCCGGTCATACTGATGGTTCTTGTTATGCAGAAGTTTTCATCGATTATGATACAAAGATGATACTAGTTGAATTAGCTTATGTCAATGCTGTACAATCAGTTTTAAGTCCTTATGATGATATGTTTGGTGTTGTTACTGGTATTAAAAGTGTTGTACAATACAGAATAATTGGTAACTTTAAAAATGAAACAATATTCATGAGAACACGTATTCAATGCAACATATATGATAATTGTGCACTTGATAAACTTCGAAAACTTTTATCAAATTTGACCATTAGTGAAACACGATTGAATATATTCAAGAAAACTATCAAGTTACTACACACATCTGATTCAATAGGAGTATCCGGACTTAGGTGAAAATTATTTGATTTTTAGAAATTCAAGAAATTTTTAAATTTTTAATTATTTTTATTTCTAGTTGTATCAATAATAATACCAATCTAAAATGCTCAAATGATGAACAACGATGTGCATTTTTCTCCTCGAAAGATCATTCATCACAAAAAGGTTGTTTAAATAACGTTTTCGAAACACTATATGATATACGATATCGATTTAATGTTATAGAAGAAATAGCGAGTAATGAAATTCATAATTTCCGAGATCCATTTAAATTTTTCTATTTATGTAATACAAATTTTTGTAATAATAATACTATTGCTGCAAAAGTAAGTTTCGTTGAATTAAAATTTAAATAATAGTGAATGAATAAAATATTTATAGGTTGATCATTTATTATATTCGTTTGCTTTGGGATCATTGACGAATGATAAGAGTAATAATACAAATATAATTTATAAAAATTCTAATCAAATGCTATCGTATAACATGAAATCAAATAGTATATCCATTGTTACATTACTCTACTATCAATTGATTATTTTTTTTTCTTTATTTACTGAAATTTTACTGTAATGAATATTTTTACTTGAAGTGTTTTTCTTATCAAAATAAAAAAGAATTATCAGGACAACTTCTTTAGTATCTAAACTGTGGAATTCACATGTATTGTTTAGCCTCATTATATTAATACAAAATATGTTAAGTAAAAACTCTCTGGTGAAACGATCTGTTTTATTTTCTCCTGTATTTCGAACAGAAATTTCGCTTTATTTTGTGTTTGATTTAACTTGTAAATAAGCCTATTTTACGTATCCCTTATATCTAAAGCAGGTCTCATTCAGAGTTCTGCAGGGTATTCCTACCCTACGCTACATGATATGGTAAGCTTAGGATAAACAAAGCTTACGGTAGACTAGAGTAAAGATAGTACAAAAAATGTTTAGAGTAGAATATTAGAGTGTTGTTTATATTGGAAAGACTTTTTCGGCAAGCAATTTCGAAAACACTTTTGATTTTTTTCTTGTTTATAAGAAGTCGGTCGTTATGTTAAAATGAAATTAAGTTTTTAGTAAAAGAGAATTACTATTGGACTGATAGGGCGAATGATCATTTAACTTTTCACAACTTAGTATTTTGGAAAAAGCCTATTGGAAGTTTCGACAAGTTCACTCTCACAAGTGAACATACTTTCTTTCAGTGTAAGTGAGGGAATTTTGAAAGAGAGAAGACAGAACTGAGCTGTAATATTGTTAATGATTTTCCATTCTTATGATACTTTTGAAATATATATTAATTTTATATTTGATTATTGTTGGAAATCAATAAAGTATAATAAAGAAAACTTCATGTTGACCTATGCCAAATCCGGGAAATCTTAAAGTAGAGTAGGATATAGGGTACGAAGAAGTTTTATCTTACAAAATTCTGATTTCTACACATCTTAATAAGCTGACAAATACAGATATTAATTATTTTCCAAAGTTGTAACTTGATCCATTCACACTTTTTATTTTGATTGTATGACGACTTTCGACGAAAGACTTTGAAATATTTTTTGTATTTTCTAGAAAAGTAGAAACTCTGAAGAAGAAGTGTAACACTTGAGTTCACGATCACTACGGAAGTTTACTCAATATTTAAATTTGTACTCACTATTTTCTTCGAAAATATATGTAAGCTCCACAAAACTATCTATATGCGTACTTCTATGGTTATGATTTATTGTTTTTCATAAATAAACTTGAACACAGTATTTCAATCGTATAAATAAATTCTCCTATTGAAAATAATCCTTGTTTACACTGGTTCTGGTGCAAGTTTTAATGCTGCTTGTTTGGCTAATTGTGGATCAATAATATAATCTAATTGAATTCTATGACGATATGGTACTCGACTTTTACATAATATATATAAAGCAAGAAGACATACAATCGTAACAAGAATACCAATAATAATAAAAACAATAATAAAAAGATAATATTTTTGACTAGATAATATAAGATTAATGTTTGTAGTTTTATCAATATATTGTTCCATTTGATTAAAATTCATTGATCATAGGTAATAGAAACAAATAATTGTATTTTTCAAAGATAAAAATTGATAAATAACTTATGATGAAAATAATAGATACTATGTATTCTTTATTTCACTGAATTGTTAGAATGTTTAATGTAAATTTCTGATGAAGATATTGATTAAAGTAATAAATAAATGTTTATTTCTTTTTGATCTTCAATAACTGTGCAGACAAAAAGAAAAGAGAAATTAAGATATACAATCATTTTTATACTTTTATTTTTTTAAATAATTATTTCTGAACTGGATCAAGAAACAATACTACTTTTGTTCGAAATTTTAAAATTAAATCATTTGTAATTTCAAGAATGAGGAAGTGTCATAAATATTGATTCTCATCATCTTCTCATTACATAAACATTGTGATCACAGTAGAGAAAAGGAAAAAATTAGAATAATTTAGTTTAAAATAATAGTAAATTGTTGAATCTATATGGAGAAAATGGAATTTGTCTCGGAAAAAACTCATTAACGTTGAATCAACAAAATTAGAGGAAAAGATCTCGGTTTATTCGACATATAAGCATGTAAGATTATATAGGGACTAGTGTATATGGTATATAGAAAGAATGAACAGAAGAGTTAAAATGAATCATCTGATGATATAATGTATGATGACGGACGAATGGTAGAAAAGCATAATTTACAATGTACTTTTTCATACACCTTTTCTGATATATTTTGTATTGGATAATAATAAAAATAAAATTATTGTATTTCATTATCATACTATACTTTCTTTACTAATAAACAGATAAACTAAGTTAATATACTTGCATTTTCTCCAGCAGTGTCACATATCCAAGATTTTGGAGATGCCACCACATCTCCTGCGGGAGATGCCGCATCTCGCGCGAGAGATGCGAGTGTGGGTGTGGGGGATGCGTCTCTCTAAAGGAGATCT